AGCTTAATTCCTCTTGCCTTGAGTGTGGGCTGTAGTCTGACTTGTTTCTAACACATGGAATGATGGAGTGTTACTTCCAAGTCTAGGTCATAAAAGACATTGCAGCTTCTGCCTTTCTCTCTGGGATCACTCACTCTGGGAGAAGCCAGCTGTCGCATCATGAGGACACTCAAGCAGTTAATCTGTGGAGAGACTCACATGGCCAAGAACTGAGGCCTTCTGCCAACAGCTATATAAGGGCACCATCTCGGAAGTGAATCCTTCAGCCCCAGTCAAGCCTTCGGATGACTGCAGCCCCCAACAGCTTGATTGCAACCTCATGAGAGAACCCACACCAGAATCACCCAGCTAAGTCACTCGCGAATTCCTGACTCTTAGCAACTGTGTTAGATAATAAGTGTTTGTTATTTTCAGCTGCTGAGTTTTGGGGTAATTTATTATGTCCCCATAGATAACCAATATACACTTCCAGATAATTTGGAAGCACATTAAAGTCTGAGAAACACTGAACCAGATCATGAACTCCTGGAAGGCAGAGACCATGGTAGTCATTTCCATGTCTTCAGAGCTCAGCTCAGTGCCTGACACTCAGTAAAATTTTTCTGGACAAAATACAAGGTTACATTGCTGTGTTTTGAAAAAATTTAAACTCTTTTTGTAATAAGTAATGCATGTATGCATATGATAAAATATTCCAGCAGTGCTAATGGGTATTTACAATAAGTCAATCTCCCTGTAGACTGCTTGTTGGTTATCAGCAAATTCTGTGACCACTTTCCATACTTCACAGTTAACTAGTAGCAACCTGTCACATTCTACAGTACATTTTTCTTTCTTTTTTCACCTCCAATGGTAATACCTCAAAATAAAATATAAGCTGCATGTAAGTAATATTAAAAAGCTCCCTTCCAAACATTTCCTAGAAGTAACCACTATTAATAATTCAATATGTATCTTTCCAGATGCTTTTTAAAAATCTTTTATCCGTACATGTACATGTTTGGGTTTGTACTGGTCCCCAAATGGAGTAACACCATGCATCTGCTTCTGCAATTCACGGTTTTCATTCAGTGATCTGTGTTGGCCACCTTGCCAGGTCCACACACAGAGGTCGGCCTCATTCCTTTAATCAGCTGCACTACGCTTCCACGAAACATCCGCTGACGCTGACCTTGCTCCTGCCCCTCCTGGAGCAGTGAGAGCCAAGTACCCGGGTCCTCCCGACACCCGCACGGACAGGTGCGCTCATCGCCCCTCTTTACGGTGAGGACGCGGAGGCACGGAGAGCCCCGCAGGTGGCGGAGTCGGTGGCCTGGTTCCAGAGGCTGCGAACTCAACCACGAAGCCACTCTGCCTCGTCTTCTCTTCTCTATTGGTGGACATCTGGTTACTTCTTTTTTTTTTCTTTTTTTTTTTTGTCTTTTTCGTGACCGGTAAGGGGATCGCAACCCTTGGTGTGGAGTCACCCGCACCGCGCTCAGCCAGTGA